TATTTGTTTCACGCATTACTTAACTAATATTAACATAAAGAGTAATGCTATTGCGAGAGCGCTCTTGCAAAATGTCTAAAGAGCTCCCGCTTATAAGTCACACGATTCCTTTTTTAGAAATTTGGGAGAGAGAATTAATTAATTAAGAAAGAATCATTTGCAATAAGGAAACAAATAATCCTTTTTTTCTCTCTCTTCTCTCCACGTTCAATCCGGTTACCGAAGATAGGTGATGCTTTGTTTTCTTAAAGGTTTGATTTTCTCTAAGATATGAATCAAAAGATCCTTAAAGATATTGAGTCATTTCTATTATCTCTTGATAAAGAAGAAATTACGATAGATATGAAGGTGGGGGTGGAATGGTGTTTTAATTATCTTCTTGGGAAATTACTATCTAAGAATGCTATCAACACTGATGACTTGCATAATATCATAAGTAAGATTTGGGGGTTGCTCTTCAAGGAAGGGTGGCCAAGATTGAAGAGAAGATTTTTAAATTCAAATTTAAACATGATTGATTCAAGCTCAAGGAGTTTTGATAGTCAATTGTTGGTATTGGTTCTTTGTGGTAAGATAGGCAGATCAAAGATCAAATCTTCGACTAGGAAAAACAAAAAACCCAATCTTCAATACACCAATAAAATCAAACCTTCAAGAAAACAAAGCCTCACCTATCTTTAGTAACTGGATTGATGGCATAGAGATAGAGAAACCAATGATAGAATGCAGGTGGAAAGACTCTTTGACAGAAAGACAAATAGTTAATTATAAGAGAGAAAGAGACAGATTCTTTGAGGGTTAACCAAGAGAGAGAAAAAGACAGATTAATTGAGGGTGTTAACTAAGAGAGAGAGAGAGAGAACGTGGAGAGAAGAGAGACAGAAAAAAGGATTATTTGTTTTCTTATTGCAAATGATTCTTTCTTAATTAATTCTCTCTCTCAAATCCCTAAAAAAAGGAATCGTGTGGCTTATAAACGGGAGCTCATTAGACTTTTTGCAAGAACGCTCTCGCAATTGCATTATGTACTCTAACATATATATCATAACAATCATGCTTTCATACATTAATTAAATCTAAGCTTGTGCCAAAAACTTATATATATATGTATGTATATATATATATATATGTATGTATGTAGTGCAAATTCAATAATTTTACTTTGAATATTTTTTTCGTAATATTAATTAGTTGGCAAGCATATATACATTAATTATATCATCACCCTACAATTAAATAACTCTATTCTTTTATTAAAAAGCTTTTAAAAGATGAGAGTAATTTTGACATTTCATAGCATTTTTATGTGAAAAAAGTTGATAGGAATGTCATTGTTCAAAAAAGAGCTAACTTGTATATGGTTGTCAATAGGACAAACTTCAAGACTAGTGCCACTGTAATTTACCTAAAAACAAAAAGGCTCTTCATTTAAAAAAGAGTAAATTACACTGTCCTCCCTTGAAGTTTGGATAAATTACACGCATGTAGAACATTTAGCCTTTATTATTTTGACTGCCCCTAAGATTTGGTGAGTGTACTCAACGACACCTCTTGTCGTTAATAAAAATTCAAAAAATAACTAAGTTACCATTTTTTTTATATTTTGAGATGAAATGACAAAAATATCATAAAATGCCAAATGCAAAGTATCAATTTTCATAATATTAATTTTATATTATTAAATTATACAAAATAAATAAATAAATAAATTTGTTAATGACATTAATTTGATTGTGTTTCTTTTTTAGGCGATTAGGTTTTTTTTTTTTCAAAAAAAAAAAAAAAAAAAAAAGGTGAAGTAATATAGTGCTTACAATATTGGGAAAAAATATAGAATCTTTTGGTTTGACAAATGTTTTATATCAAATTATTTTTAAAAGAAAGAGATTTCTCCCTTTTAGCATAGGTCAAAGTAATAAATGTCAAACTCTCTGTCAAAGTAATAAATGTCATACTCTCTGTCAGTGTGTAATTTGCCTAAACAGGGAAGGTCAATGTAATTTACCCTTTAAAAAACATATTAACTTTTCATTTAAATTAAATCAGCTATTTATATACTAACACCTCTTTAAACTCACTTATTTTCATTTTAAAAAGGAAAACAGGGGACTCTTCGTTTAAGGGAAAAAAAAAACACATGCGATTTTGTGTGAAATTAAACCAATTGACTATTTAAATACATACACATCTTTAAACTAGTTGTCTACGGATGTGAATTTAAATCAACCTAATTAACAGATTACTTTAAATAAATTTAATTCACAAGTATACAAATCATATAGACATAGTGTGTATTACGAGATCGTTTTCATGAGGACTGATTAGGATAAATTAATTCTAAAACTATTATTTAACTAATTCAACCAAAAAATGAGTGATCTAATGTAATAGAACAATGAAATTGATAAAAAGATATTGCAAAGAGGCACTTTCACTACTAATTATCATAACACACAATTTCAATTGCAAATTTGTCAGATGTCCAATTTAATTTCCACACATCCAATATATGATAATTTTATTTAAACTAAATAGATGGTCTATCCTTGTTTAGGTATAGATTTAATTGACTATTTATTATCTTGGTCATGAATTACAAATAATTAATTAAAAGAAAAACATAAACTACTACTATTTATCCATGATTAGGCATAAATAATTATTATTTAGGATTAAGTGCAAGAAACACCCTTCTTCTGATGTACTGTCTTGCATTTGGAGATAGGGTCTGAGACCTAATGTGGGATTGGCTAAGTATTGCCTGGTGACACGACTTGGACAGAGGTCCGACGTACTGTCTCTCATTTGGAGACAGGGTCTGAGATCTAATGTGGGTACTGTCTTGCATTTGGAGACAGGGTCTGAGACCTAATGTGGATTTGACTAAGTGTTGCCCAGCGAGGGCCGACATGACTTAGACAGAGGTCCGAAGTACTGCCTCGCATTTGGAGACAGGGTCTGAGACCAAAGGGATTCCTTAGTGAGACTACCTCATCTCTTCTAAGGTTATATACATGTGACAAGTATTTAAACAGATATGCTATAGACAAATATGGATATGTAAAAAGGCTGAAAAGAAGGGACAGTGTATCCCTCTCCTGTTGTGATATGCAAACCCGATGCAGATGACACTGTTGGCTCACTTCCTAAGAAGCTCGGTCCCAAATGCCTTCAAACCTCTGGCCACTTTCCATTCTCCCCGAGGAAGTGAAAAACAAGACCATATTTGTTTGGTGGCTGGGCGGAGGTATAGTCAAAAGTAAGAGGTCTTGCAGGGGCTCACCTACTTTGTAGGGAACCCCTTGCGGGATCCCAGGAACTTCAGCTATGCCCGTTGGTTTAAAAGAGAAAATGAAAGGGTATGTAGTGCAGCATGGAGTGAGGTGGTGCAACGGAGGAGGCAAACATGCTTAGTAAATGTAAAGACATGAATGCATAATGATTGAAACGTAAATTTTTTTTGTTTGAGATTTTTTTTCTCAAACCAATTTTATTTATTTATTTTTTTTTGGCATGCAACTGTGCAATTGCTGTAAAATCACCGATAAACGTCAAAGTCATGGCATACACATTGATTTTATCCTAGATGATGCAAGTCGCGCTCTCATGTAAACAACAATCATATTGAGTAGCATGGATATGGAAGTGTAGCACATTGTATGTGAATTGGCTCAAACCCACTCAAACTTAGGAGCCCTGTTGCTTCAATCCAACCACAACAGTATACATCCAATTAAGAATGTAGAATAGTCAAATGCACATACAACACAAAAATCCAGCTCAAGGCATTCTTTTTGAATGTCAAAAGTGAACACATCTGGAAAAACTTTCATGCAAGGGAGTATGAACAAAATAAATGTTCAACAAGGCATATAATAGCCATGACAAACAAAATGGCTGTCTATATCCCTGCTAGCAACTTCTATAACATAAAATCATTCCCACTAAGAAGATAATGCAATTCAAATCAAGTCTCATATGAGTTGATTCAGTTCAATATTAGCCACAAATAAACCATTAGTCGAGTTAAGTACATCCTCGATCATTTTAAAGTGTCAACTGCATCCTGTCTAAATAAGATACCGATGACATGAAAACAAGTAGCAAAACCAAATGAGATAACAATTAAGATCAACATTGAAACTTAAATAACAAATGCTACGCATAAGGCAGCAAGAAGGTAAAAAAATTATATCTTACTATGCAGCCATCCCCACTTAATGCACTATATTGGTATAACTTAGTCTATTTTATTTTGGACATTCATTTTATGGTATGTTACATTATTTACATTAGTTTGGTAGCATTCCGGACATTTATCACATTTTAAGTAGAAAGGGAACTTGTTTAAAAAAAAGAAAAGAAAAAAGAAATAGAAAGCGGGAACCACCATAATGACTCTGTATGTATATACAGGAGGACTAGCTTAGTCTCTTTTTGACTACAAAATCAGGTTTCTTTCTCCTTTGCCCTTCTATTTTCTTTGTTAATTAAACCATTTTAATTGCAGTACGATGTTAACTGAATCCCAGTCTAAATATGAAAACAAATAATTAATAATAAGATCAAACATTGAAATTGCCGCTAGTACTCCCCTGGCACTTAAAAGGGGTAATAAGTGGAACATATATCTGCTCCTTCTTGCAATCCATTTTCTTTGTCAATTAAGACTAAGCTCTGTGTGTAAGTATTGATAGAAAATGCTGCATTACATCCAATGATTCTTTCGAGATACTTGAATGTTTGACACTTTATGTTAACTGAAATAATCTCCTCATCATCTTTTGTCAAAAGAAGTTCACCATTCCTCCTCAACCCAATAACTCGAACTCTCCAAGCACATCTTCTACGAAAATCAGGATTAAACAAACTGGCCCATGGCTCCACAACACCGCATTCTTGTCTCAGAGGAAATTCGTCTCTATAATCAAGACTAAACAAATTGGTCCACGACTCCACAACACCATATTCTTTCATCACCCAGATTGATGCTTTTTGTTCTAAGTATCACTTTGGAACACACAAAGTGAGTCTTGAAACACCCCAAGAGACAAGCTATGTGCTTCTCTTATATGACCTAGACTTGTTGGTAGCTCAATCTTATAGAATACTTCCGTGCTCAAATTGAATAAAACAATAAACGAATTATGACTCCAGCCTGTAACCCAATGGATAGCCCCATTGAGGTAGGCTTGAGATTTCTCACAATCAATACGAGGTACCCAACAAGAACCACTAATAGCACTAATCCTTCTCCAACCACCCTCTTTAAGAGAATAAATGTCAACCTCTCTGTCAACAGATAGGTAACCACCAGATAAATAAACAATTCTAACCACCTTATAGTCATTAGTTGTGGAATCGAATCCGAGTCCAAGAGCAAGCACATAATAAAGTTTGTTATGTAAAATTTTGAGAGGTCTTGGGAGTACAACAAATTTCCTAACACTGGGATTCCACAAATATAAAGTATGATCCTCAGCAACGCATACCATGCCATTGCAAGAACCAACCACGGTTAAATGGTCAAATCTTGCGACTGGACGACTTCCTTTATTCAAAGGGTACTCAGTGAATGATTCATCATCGAGATGCAAAGAAAAATGTTCTTGTTTATGAGGTTTATCATGTAAAGTGTAGTGCTTGAGGAGAAGGTTGTTCATGTTGTTCACGCTGCGTTTTGTCTGATTGAACCAGAAGGTAACAAAATTTTCACTACTGATCAGAGAACACCAAGATTTACATACGCACCTGAATCGAAGAAGAGTTCTCACTGGTAGTCTTCCCAGAATTTCCATCACCAGTTCGTCCGGTATGTTGTCCGACATTGTGAACCAACGATTCTATGGTTAGGGTTAGGTTTTTCAAAGCTGCGGTTAAACCCTAGAAATAATGCCAAGAAAAGAGATATGAATTGGTTTTAAAAATTCTCTCTTTATTTCTTCTTTCTCGTTTGCACTTTAAATTTCTTAGATTTCCTTTAAAGAAAAAATTTTCTTTTTCAATTGAAACTCTAAAATTGCCTTTTTCATTTTAAACTTCTCCTACTTATTATTATTATTTTTTTTAACTTAACAGAGGCAGGCGAAAGTCCTAATATTTTCAAATATGACAAATTTTTCAAACTATTAGGTTTGATCGTTAACTTTATCAAATTAATTACAAAAGTGCACAAAAACACTATTTAGACTCTTTAATGGTCCAAAATGCCCTTATTTCTTCCAAAGAAAATCTAATGTCCTCCAAGTTCCTAAACTCCATTATTTTTGGCCATGATCTCACAAAGCCTATCTCAAGATTTGTGGTACCAGAAGACATTCTTGTAATTGTGGCCGTGTCTTTTCCAATAGCTTTTGTTTTAAAATTAGTTCCCTTTTTCTTCTATAATTATTTTCAGTAATTTCTCTCTCTATATAGCTAGCTTTCTTGATCTCTAGGCTGCCCTGTTGGTGAATTTGATCTTTATTCCATTTTTATTTAATTGATTAATTCTCATGAGTGTTTCTCTTTTTGGTTCACTGAAAGTTATTCTAGAATTTTCAAAAATAATATTTAAATATGCAAGAAAGAAAAGTATGTGAATGGTACTAATTTTTGGTACTTTCCTTGCTTTTAACTTATTTCTTGTTAATCTACAATTATTTATGATCCATAATTATGTTATGTATGTATGATTATTTATTTAATTGTGACCCACATGATTTGAACATTTGACATATTACTTAGTGGTTAAGTAAATAGATATCAATTAATATTATTTATTTTTGGTCAAATTATAATTACCTTTTTGGTAATTACTTATTGAATGAGTGTTTTTTCTTTCTTATTTCTTACTTTGATGGAAAGTAGAATTATGTTACTAAAAGAAAAACTAGTCTTCTCTGTCTTTATAAAAGTACATATATTCCATCAATTATGTACGATTACGTATAGAACACGTGAAAGTTTTATGTGTCCAAAAGGTCAAGAGAAATAACCAGTTTCCGCCTTTGCCTGTTAATCAGAGTTGCAGATTGGTTCGTGATTAAAGAATCTGGACGTTGGATTTAATCACAATAAGATTTGATATCATGAATTGAGGTATGTATATCTAACAATATTTATTTATGCGTTATAAGGATGTGAAATTAATTGAAATTCTAAGATTTAGGAATTTATGATAATTTGTGATTCGTGTTTAACATAAATTAATTAGAGTTTACATGTGGTATCAGATCCTGTAATTTTGAAACTCATTATTTTTTCATTATCCTTGCATAAATAATATGTGTAAGTTTAAATTAAAAATTATATATATAATTTTAATTTATTGAATTAGGACGCTACTTTAATAACAAATCTGATTTAATTTTTCTAATTCATGCCAGTAGCGTTTTTTCTTATTAGTATTTGCGGATGTGATTGCATTGATCAGTTTTGTCAACTTATGTTATGCTGTGCCTCGAATTCTGATCTTATGTGCGTATAACATTAGTTAAGTCTGTTGATATTTATAGTGTTAAATTTTAGAAAAAAAAAAAAAAAAAGAAAAAAAAGAAAAGAAAAGAAAGAAAAGAAAGAAAAAACCGCATCTGGGTGATATATATATATATCATAATGAGACAAAAAACAATATATATATAAATATATCATAATAAGACAAAACAAGCTAAAAGATGGTATTTTGTGCATCAGTATATAGTGACGGTAAAAGTCAAATAGATTGTTTATTTTGGTGTATCAGCATATAATGATTAGACAAGTCAATTATTTTCGTGCACTAATTTATTGAATGAAATTTTTTATTTTGATTCCGCCGCGTAAAACGAGGTCTCAAATTGTAATCATGTTTTTTTTGTTTTGCACATGATTATATATGCTATTTGATATACATATATTTATGAAATTTTAGTACACTCACTAATAATTTAATTAATTAATTTTATAAACTATGTATGCATAACATGGTGAATAATTTAATGTTAAATTTACTATTAGAAAATTAAATATTCATATTATGAAAAGGTTGGTAGCTACCAAAGTGGTCTAACTATAATGATTAATGGATATTAATTTGAGTGGTAGACATAATTGCAATATTTCATGAATAATGATGCTTATAATTTTTTGTAAAATTCATGAATATTGAGTTTATTTAATTATTAGAAATAATTCCTCAAAGGGAATTAATTTTCAAGTAATTAAATAAACATTAAGGGGTTGTATGTAATTTTTAATTGGGTAGATATAGGATATCCAAAGGTAATTTGTCTATTTAATTAATTAGTGCATCACCAATGAAACTATATATAAATAAATACATCTAAGTATTATTTTTTGTATTTTGTGGTTACTACCCAAAGGGGTACCATAATTGTATAATGTATTTATTTATTTTTATATGTGTTGTTATCTCAAAGTATTAATATTATGAGTATTTACCTTATTATGATTATTTTATTGCAGTATTTTTCCTGTTTTAGTGAATTTGCATGCTTCATCTATTCCAATTCTCAATTGGACTAACTTCTCAGAATGGAATGAGCAAGTTCAGTTCAACTTAGGTGTGCTAGATCTTGATTTAGAATTTCAAATTGAGATACCTACTGCTATTTCTGGTGAAAGCAGTGAGGAAGAAAAGACTCTCCATAAAGTTTGGGAGAAATCGAACAGATTAAGTTTTATGTTTATGCGAATAACTATTGCAAACAATATCAAAACAACTCTTCTCCAAACTGATAGTGCTAAGGAATATTTGAAAAATATTGAAGAACGTTTCCGTACTGCATCTCTTGTAGGGAAATTAATGGTTGCCCTTACTACTATGCGTTTTGATGGTACTCGTAATATGCATGAGCATGTTCTTGACATGACTAATCTTGTTGCGAAATTGAAAACTTTAGGGATGAATGTGGATCAAACTTTTCTCGTTCAATTTATTCTCAATTCCTTACCTACTCAGTATGGGCCATTTCAAATTCACTATAAAACTATTAAGGACAAGTGGAATATGAATGAATTGCCAATATATTAGTTTAGAAAGAAGGAAGGCTTAAGCAATAAAATAATCATAATGTTCATCTCATGACTCAAGAAGCTAGAAAGAAATTTGAGAAAAGGCCTGGAAAAGGCATTAAGCGAGCAACACCCCAAATAAAGGATTCTGATCAAGTTACTCAAAAGAAGGAACGCAAGAATGATAAATGTCATTTTTGTAACAAATCTGGACACTTTCAGAAAGATTGCATAAAACGTAAAGAATAGTTCGAAAAGAAGGGTATGCCTTTGGCTTTTGTATGTTTTGAATCAAACTTAATTGAAGTTCCTTCTAATACTTGGTGGGTTAATTGAGGCTCTAATGTTCATATTTCCAATACGATGCAGGGATTCTTTTCAACCCAAACCACAAATCCAAATGATGATTTCTTGTTCACAAGGAATAGGGAGAACATTCCAGTTGAAGCCATTGGGACATTTCGTTTAGTTTTAGATAGTGGATTTCATTTAGATTTGTTTAAAACTCTTTATGTTCCTTCAATTTCCCGTAATTTGATTTCTATGTCCAAACTTGATGTTGATGGATTTTCATTTAAATTTGGTAATGGATGTTTCAGTTTGTTCAAAAAATCCTAATTTGTTGGTTCTGGTATTCTTGTTAATGGTTTATACAAGATAAAGCTTGATGATTTATTTTCTGAAACACTTTTGACCTTGCATCATAATGTTGGAACCAAACGTAGCTCAATTAATGAAAATTCATCTAGATTTTACTGATTTTATTGTGTATGTGGATTATATTAAAGGTAAACAAACCAAACACACAAAGAAAGGAGCCACAAGAAGTATAAAGTTTTTTGAAATTATTCATACAGACATTTGTGGACCTTTTGATGGAATTTGGTAGAGAAAAATATTTTATCACCTTTATAGATGATTTTCTACGTTATAGATATATCTATTTGTTATATCATAAATCTCAAGTAGTGAATACTCTTGAAGTATACATAAATGAGGTTAAAAGGCAACTAGATAAAAAAGTGAAAATAGTAAGGTCAGATAGAGGTAGTGAATATTATGGAAAGTATGATGAAATGTGTCAATGCCCTAGACCATTTGTTAAACTCCTTAAAAAGCGTGGCATTTGTGCTCAATACACTATGCCAGGCACGCTACAACAGAATGGTGTAGCTGAAAGGCGTAATCGTACTCTTATGGAAATGGTTAGGAGTATGTTAAGTAATTCCTTGTTACCCATATCATTGTGGATGTATGCTCTTAGAACTGCTATGTATATATTAAATAGGACTCCTAGTAAGGCAGTTTCAAAAACTCCATTTGAACTGTGGACAGGAAGGAAACCTAGTTTAAGGCACCTGCATATTTGGGTTTGCCCAGCGGAAGCTAGGATTTATAATTCACATGAAAATAAATTGGATTTTAGAACAGTTAGTGGGTACTTTATTGGTTACCCAGAAAAAACCAAAGGGTATAGGTTTTACTGTCCTACATATAGTACAAGAATTGTTGAAACCGGTAATGCCAGATTCATTGAGGATGGTGAAATCAGCGGGAGTGATAGAAATGAGAATGTGATCATTCAAGAAGTTAGGGTATAAATCCCTTTACCCACAACTTCTAAAGAAATAATTGTTTCTCCAGTTGTTGTACTGCATAACAACGAAGAACAATTAAATGATCAACAACTCCATAATGAAACTATCACCAATGAAATTATAGAAGAACCACAAGGAATAATATTAAGACGATCTCAAAGAGAAAAGAGACCTGCTATTCCGAATGATTATGTGGTATATCTACATGAATCTGATTATGATATAAGGATATGTAA